TTGAGCCAGCCTGAATCCAGCCCTCTTCCTGCTACTATGTGTCTCCTATCTGTACTATGCATGCTAGAGCCCAGCAGAATTGACTTTCCTGCTACTGCTCACAGAGGACACTGTACTCCCCCACTCCACCCCCACCCCTGCCTCTATTTCTGTCCTGCTCTCCCTACTCACCTCCATCTTTTAGAATCTCCAGCTTCCTCCAAAGCTCAGCTCAATTGCCACTGTCTACTTGAGGCTTCCTGATCATTCACACTGGCCCAGGTGCTTCACCTATCATTACTGGTATTAATCACAGTCACTTGTATTTGTATAAGACTTGAAGGTTTGCAATGTACTTTACGAATATCCCATTCGATCCTCACAAAAACCTTGGGAGGTGGGTGCTCTTTTTATGCCCATTTATAGATGTGGAATTGGAGGCCAACAGAGACAGAGGTTAAGTGACTTGCCCAGGGTCTCACAGCAGTAATGTCTAAGGCAGGATTTGCACTCCGATTTTCTTGAAGCCAGATCCAGCATTCTGTCATTGGGCCACTAGCTGCATATGTTTGATATGTATGCATGTGGACACATGTTTCTCAGGATAGAATGGAAGCCTCTGGAGGGCAGGGATTGTTTTGGTTTTGTGTTTTTTTGTTTGGCTTTCTGTTTTTATCTTGTCTCTAGTGCCTAGAAGAACCCCTGCAGAGAGTGGGCTATTAAATACTTCTTAGCTGTTTGATTGGTCATAAGAACCAGGCATATTTAGCCAGGAGAAGAAAAGGCTTCATGCAGGACTTGGGAACTCTCCTCCAGGACTTGGAAGAATGTCATGGAGTCAAGAACCAGTCTTGTTTCCTTGAACCCAGAGGGCAGAACCAGGAGCAATGAGGTGTCAGGGCAGAACAAGGGTCCTGTCAATGAGAGCTGCCCCAGAGTGGAGGCTGCCTGGGGAGGTAGTGAGCATCCATCTTGGGAGGTCTTCCAGGAGAATCTGGAGTACTACTTCTCATTGAGGGTGTAGTGAAGATTCCTCTTCAGGGGTGGGTTCCACTAAGCTGTACTCTGGGTCCTTCTGATGCTAAAATTCTGTGATTCACCCTCTCTACTCCTAGGCCTTTATGAATAGCTTCTCTCGGGCTGTGGCCTTGGAATACCAGTCCTCTGGAGTTATCATACAGGTATGGGTGTGGGTGTGAGTGTGAATGTGCTTGTGTGATTGTTAGGGCCTGAAGAGTGGATGGGAAAGTTGTGAGGAGCTGAGAGATGGGGGAGAGCTTGGGAAGAGGGCAAGGGGGTCAAGGTAAGTGGGATGGTGAGAGGCAGCAGGTTTGGTGAGGTAGCAGGAGGGTGGGGGTAAAGATGGGTGACCAGCTAAGGGGAGGAAGCTTTGGGAGGTGGGTAGAGTGAGAGCTATGACCCTTCCATCTAGTCATCAACTTCTTTCTCCAGACTCTTACTCCTCTGGCAGTTTCCAGCAACATGAGCCAGATGCACCCACAAAATTCTTGGTGAAGTCTTCAGATGACTTTGCCAGAGAAGCCTTGGATACGTAGGCGTCTCTAACTTCACCTGGGGGTGTTTCCTACACTCTGTCCACGTGAGTGACTGGGGTGCCCATTGGGTTGAACTAATAGGGAAGGTGTCCAGACCAACTCCTGGCGTGATGGGTTGGCTAAGGAGGGAAGGAAGGATACTCTTACATGCCAGGAACTCTGCTAACCCCTTTACAAAGATCTCATGGTCCTCACAACAACCCTGGCAAGATAGGTGCTGTTATTATCCTCATTTTCCAGTTGAAAACAGTCAGACAGCTGTTCAGTGACTTGTCTGGGGTCACACACTGGTAAGTTTCTCAGGCTGGATTTGAACTCAGGTATTCCAGACTCCAGGTCCAGTGCTCTAGCCATTATCACCTATCTGTACACACCTGGGTAGAAGTTGACCTTTGGGGGTGTATGTGTGTGTGTGTATTGGGTGAGGGGATAATCGGTTTTTTGAGCAAAACCCATGGGGTTCAAAAGAATGGGAGGCATGAATGAAGTCAGATGTCTGCCCAGTTATAGTGTCATGGAAAGAACATTGGATTTGGATTCAAAAGACCTGGGCTGAAATCCTAGCCTTGCCATGTACTGACCTCATCAGTCACCTTGCCCAGGGTTTGTCTGGTACACAGGAAAGAATACTGGATTAGGAAATTCCAGTCCTGGCTGTGAGGTGAGGAAGCACTGAATATCTCTGAGACTCAGTTTCCTCATCTGTACAATGAGGTGGATGGCTCAGGGCTTCCCTTCCATCTCTAAATCTGTGATTCTAAGAGCCAAATTCAGAATTCAATTTTTTTCCACTTGTGAACTGAGAGTGGCTGTGATCAGGTGATCTCCATGGTCCTCACAGCTCTGAGTCCTCCTTTTGGAGAGATGAGCTCCTGCCTGTGATTTCATAGGAGGTAGGGAACTCCTGGTGAGGACCTTCCCTCTCCCAATACAGCTTGTCTGCAGTCTAGGTTGTTGAGTTGTCTGGGGCACTGAGAGGGTGCCACAGCCTGTCAGTGTCAATGCTGGCCATTGGCCCCTCAGCTTCTCAGCCACATAGCTTGTGGAGGGCTCAGATGTTCTGAGAAAGTCATCAGAGCAAGCCCCCTCCTCCCTGGGTCTGATACTGAAGTCTTGAGGCCTTGAAGGAAATGCCTCCACCAGATTTACAGATTGGAACCATTCCCAGGTGCCAGTTGTCATAATGCTAGATAGGTCAATGGGAACTCACTTATCCAAAGCCCATCTGACCAATGCCGTAAGACCTTGGCTTTTGTCGGGGGGGTCCCTTCAGTTATAGGGCACATGACTCTCTAGAACTTGGTTGTCAGGAACCAGCCAGTTCTATAAAATTCAATGATGCCAGATGTAGTTACCTAGAACCCACTGTAGGTAACTTTGATGTTTAGGGCTCTTATCAACAGCCTAGAGTGCAGGTATGTGGAACTTGGTGGCTACAAGTCAGCTCACAAGAACTGTGTCCTTCCGAATTGAGGTCACTGGGCCTTACTTATTTGATATGTTGTTCTCTAGAAGTCGTTGGTTCAGAACAGAATCAAGAATATGACAAGACCCCCCAAAAGAAACACCTTAGCTCCAAAATGTGTCATGTGCATGCAAGCATCTTCATCTTCTCAAGGAGAACCCACTGGGTATTTACTCTAAACCTATTGGCTCTTATTCAACACAAAATTCTTACAACCTTGGTGCTCTGGTTCTCTAAGTCAAGAGATGATTAGAATTATCAGATTGGAGATGCATGGACCACGTCCCCCTGCCCCACCCGCCAGAAGGGGATGGACTCAGGGTGCAGAGCAAGAGCTAAGGTTTAGGACATGGCCAGTATGGGATTTTGCTGCGCTTGATTAGGCATGCTTATTGCAAGGGCTTTTTTTTCCTTCCTTTCTAAACAGGAAAAGTGGGAAGGAGAGGAAATAGATTTAATTTAATTTTTTAAAAAGGATTAGAGGGTACATGGAGTTAACTAGAGAAGGGCAGGGTGACTGATGGAATTAAGTGATGGAGCAAAAGACAGAAATACAAAAGGCAACAATAAGGTTGGTTCCTGAATGCTGACTTCTTAGAGATTAGGACATTAGATAAATGGACTCTGGATAGGTGATTCCCACGGTTCCATCTAATATTAGGGTGATGAACTGACTGCCAAGGATTTATGACTTGGTCTAGATTTGCCCAAGGAGCAGAGAGATGGGTGAGCTTATTTTTTTTAAAAAGGAAATTGGGTTAAGTGACTTGCTCAGGGTGACACAACTAGTAAGATCTGGAGTCACATTGAACTCAGGTCCTCCTGACTCCGTTGTTGATGTTCTATTCAGTGTGCCACCTAGCTGCCCCAGTGAGCCATTTAGAAAAGTTTACCAAATATTGTTTTTATTTTTAAAGGAAACATAATTTTTGATCATATACTCTTAGACTACAGTGCTGGCAAGTATCTGCATGACCACTTTGCATCCAGTTGCTTCGTTTTACAGAGTAGGAAGCTGAAACCCAGAAAGGGTATAAGATGGAAAAGACATAGTGAAGCAGGAGTGTGTCTGAAAAGAGCTGAAGGTGTTAGTAGACCGCAAGCCTAATATAAGTCAGCCATGTAATAGGGTGCCCAAAAAGCTGATCTTGAACCACGTTAAGTGGGGCAGTAGCTTCCAAGAATACAGAGGTGGTAGTCCCACATACTTGATGAGGAGGCCTGTGTTCAGTTCTGGGCACCATGGTTTAAGAAGGACATTAATGTGCTGTAAAATTTCCAGTGGTGGGAAACCAGGACGATGAAAGGCTTGGTATCCAGAGCATACCATCAGCTGAGGGCATGGGTGGTACGCAATCTGGAGAAGACACAAGGGGATCATATGGCTTTTTTGCAGTACTTGCATATAGGAGGGAATTAGCTATGTTCTTTGGCCTCAGAGGGCAGACCTGGGAGCAGAGGGGCTGGCGGTGGGGTGGGGCAAAGGGAAGAAGGGACTGAAAAGTGACCAGTTTTGGCTTGAGATGAAGACAAACTTCCTGAGGATAAGAGCTGTTGCAAAGGTCACCGGGTTGCCTTGAGAGGCGAGTTCCCCTTCCTTGGAGGTCTTGAGGCTGAGGCTGGAGGAGCATGTGCTGGGTGTCTTCTAGTGAATATTCTGTTCCTGTGTGGGATGGATTCAATGGCCTCCTGGGTAGACTAGAACCCCGGGCCATCTGACTCTTTCCCCTTCACAGAACTGTGCACCCCAGTCCCAGGGTTTCGAGCACAGAGGCTGAATTCTATTTATCCAGTACTCGCTGTGTGCAAAGCCTTGAAGTGAACAGACTGTACTCTACAGTGTGTCAGATAATACCAAAGCTTTAGAAACAGTAGGGACATAATTTATACAATATTAAATGAGGTTGATACTGTATATGCCAGAGGCTGCCTCCCAGACAGTTATCTGTTAGCAATATGAAGATTAGAACACAAGGTAACCTCTCTTAATTCATACAGCATAAATACATGGGGGCCGCTAAGTGGCTGTGTGGGGTAGATCTCTGGACTAGAGTCAGAAAGACTCATCTTCCTGAGTTCAAATTCAGCCTCAGACCCTTACTATGTGTGTGATTCTGGGCAAACCACTTAACCCTGTTTGCCTCAGTTTCCTCATCTGGAAAAGGAAATGGGAAACCCCAAATGGGGTTACGATTGGGACACAATTGAACCACAAATGAATAGATGAGAGTAAGGGGATGAAGCATTTCTATAACATCTACTATGTGCTAAGCCCTTTGCAAATATCTCATTTGATTCTCATGCCAACCCTGGGAGGTAGGAGCTGTTATTATCCCCATTTTACAGTTGCAGAAACTCTGGCAGGTTTAGGTTAAGTGACTTGCCCAGGGTAGCATAGTTAGTAAGTGTTTGAGACCAGATTTGAATTCAGGTCTTCCTTCCTTCCTTCCTTCCTTCCTTCCTTCCTTCCTTCCTTCCTTCCTTCCTTCCTTCCTTCCTTCCTTCTTTCTTTCTTTCTTTCTTTCTTTCTTTCTTTCTTTCTTTGGCAGTTGGGATTAAGCAACTTGCCCAGGGTCACTCAGCGTGAGTGTCAAGTGTTTGGTCTGAGGCCAGATTTGAACTCAGGTCCTTTTGATTTCAGATCCTGTGCCACCTAGCTGCCCCAGATTGAAGTCTTTCTAACTCCAAGCCCAGCACTCTACTACTGCATTACCAGCTGCCTCATCCTCAGCATTCTCTGCCCCCTAAGGCTTTGCCTTCTGATTGATTGGCTCCTTCTAGAACTTCCATTTTAAGGGGAAGGCCCAGGCAGCAGTTATTTTCAGCCCTGTCCAGGCTGCACTGCACTCATCTGCATAGAACTTCCCCTACCTTTTCTCTTCCCCTTCTTTAGCTTCTTTTTAGCACTCCATTAGAAGCAAAGCTTCTTGAGGGCAGGGACTGTCTTTGTTTCTGCTTGTATTTGTGTTTCCAGCACTTAGCACAATACCTGGCACATAGTAAGATCTTAATAAATGCTTACTGGCTGACTGGCAGTATAATATATAGCACTCATGTGGAAAAATCTTGGACTATAAGAGGTGGAAGGAACACCTGAGAATAGAGAATATCAGAAGTATAAGGGACCTTAGAACAGAGAATGCAAGAGCTGGGAGGGACTTTGAATATGGAATGTCAGAGCTGGGAGGGCCCTTAGAACAGGGAATGTCAGAACTGGGAGGGCCCTTAGAGCAGGAAATGTCAGAGCTGGGAGGGCCTTAGAGATCATGTAGTCTAGAGATATCAAAACTCCTGGACTGAAAAACACCAAAATGCTCCCCTGACCAGCTTAAAATGTAATTGGGAAATGCTTATGAAGGTAAATTCAACTCTGCTCCATGGCTCATGTTCCTAAGTCAGCTGTAATCTGCTGGGTTCTGTATCTCCTGGAGGTGACTGAGGAGGCCTTGAGGGGGAAATTCTCCAGGCCCCAGTGCTCTGGGCCTGGGAACCAGGCTGAGGCCAGGCTGCCTCCTGACCACTGTGCTGCCTCCTGACCACTGCTCCCTCCTTTCCTCAGGGCTTGTTGCTGTGGCCCCTGAACTCCAACTTCAAATTCATCATCCCGACTCTGATGTTCTTCTACTCTCTGCTCAGTGCATCCAGAAGTTCCTGAAGAAGTTGTGGGAAGGAGGTGGGGACTGAATTGGAGTCCCTTTGTTGGGGTAGGGGAGATGAGTGCTGCTGGTGGGAAGAGAGGGGTTTCCTCTGCTTGGCTCATCTCTCTGTCCTGTTTTCTAGGTCCCCTTTGAGGAGAAACCCCAGCCCTGAGAAGCTGTAGCTGTAACTTGTTATAATAAATTGGTTTCTCTTTAGCCAGCTATCTGTCTTATCAATAGCTGCATGGCCAAGCACACTCACCGCCATCCTGGTGCAACCCCAGCCCACAGTCGTGCTAGGAGTCCTGGGTCTGAACCCCACCTCCACCCCTCATCACTCTGAGGTCTGCTAAGTGGGGCCCTGGAGAGGCAGCCTGGCCTCTGTTGTCCATGGGCAGCCCTCCAGATACTGAAGGGATCCCAGAGAGTAGAAAGGGCAGGGGTGATGGGGGAGATGCAGGAGGCCTCCTCCTCCTCCTCCTTCTCCTCCTCCCTCCTTCGCCGCTCCCCACTCTTAGAAGTTGTCACAGACTCCAGGCTGGGGTGGAGGGCAGTCAATACACTGTGATAATTTACGGGCCCCAGGAGCTCTGGTTCCCATCTCCACCTTCTTCCCTTATTTGCTCTGTAACCCTGGGCTAGAGACTTCCTGTTCCTAGTCTGATTTTCCCTTCTATAAAATTAGGTGGGAGGGGATGGATTTTGATGAATCTCCCAAATTCCTTGCCAGCCCCTGGGACCAGTCCCCTTATACTCTTCCTTAGGTCTGACATTCTGAGTCTTGGGTTCAAGCTGGGCCATTGCCCTCCACACATGCCACTTTCATTTTTCCAATGGCATGGAAGCCAAGGATCGTAGATGGGAATGCATTTGGCCAAATCCACTCAGCAAACCCACCCAGGGAAGGGCAGAGGAAGGAAAGGTCTCAAGGCTCTCTCCCTTAGAACAAGCAAAGAGCATTCTCCTCCCGCCATCCCCCCATACAAGTCACAGTCCTCTTTCCATGTACCCCTCCCCCTGCACTTCCCCCCCCCACTACAGCTCCCTCCCCTCAACCCCCTCTGAACACCTCTAGGTGGAAGCTGGGAGGGGTGGCTCCCAGAGGGCAGAATTCGGCCCTCCCTCTTGGCTGCCTTTAGCTATCTCCCTTCCCCTTCCCCTTGAGGAAGAAAAACAAGGAAAGAAATCAACTTCCTGTCTCCTTCCCAGGGCCTCTCCGGACACAGCAGAGAGTCACCAAATCCCAGATGTCAGGGCAGAAAGGGACCATAAAGGTCGCCTTGGCCAAATCCTCTAGACAGATGGGGAAACCAAGACCAAGGGAAGGAGTGGGACCTAGGCCAGGGTCTCACAGTGAGGCAGAGGAGGGGCAGGGCCCAACTTCCCACTCCTAGCTCTGGGGCCAAGGGAGCTTACCCACTTACCCAAGATTAGAGACTGGGAAGAAGAGATTGGAGAAGACCCTGCCTTCCCTCCATCGGCTGTAGGACTCCCTGAAATTCCGAGGCTGGCAGGTATTGGTCCTGAAAGCCTTCTGGGCAGCAGCCAGTGTGGCAACTCAGGTGTGGCAGGGTATGTGAGGAGTTCAGATGAGACCAGACGCCCCTTTTCACGAGCACCGAGTTCAAATCCTGCTTCTAACACTCATTGACTTTGTGACCTTGGACAACTACCTACCCTCCTTGGAACTGGTTTTCTTTATCTGTAAAATGGAGTTCACTGTCTGGCCTCTGAGATCCCTTTCAGTTCTCAATCTTATCCTATAAGCTCCTACATATCTGAAACCTTTGAGGGAAGGAGAGGAGTAAGAGGGGAATCACTCCATTTCCTCTTCCCTAGACTGTTCCCTTCTCCTGGTATAGGAGCGTCCTATGGGGGGGGACCTAAAGCAACCAGTGTTAAGGCATAGGGCCATGTTTCCTGCTCAGACTGGGAGTCCTTGGAAGGGAAGGCCAAGCCTTCACCCTTTTGCAGGGAGATTCCTGCTAGGGGACCCTAGCCACCTTGGGGTTCACACCCATTACTTCTGGCCCAGCTCGATGTGGGAGAGAGAGCTTGGTGCCCCCACCTTGCCTCAAGGGCCTGCTTGGTGCCTCCCCACTTGCCATCAACCCGCATCTCCCCAAACCGAACTCAGCCTCAGTTGCTCGTTAAATAGAAACATATTTATTTTATCATCATACATTCCTTATTATATGAGCAGCCAGTGCAAGAAGACATTTAGAGGGAAGAGAGATGGAGACTGGGCAGAGCAAGGCACAGCCTCCATTATTTCTATGGGACCTACCCTAACTCCGGAGCAGCCCTGGCTCCCAGCTCGGCCACTGGCTTGCTGTGTGACCTAGGGAGAAGTCCCTTTCTTCACTCGTGAGCCTCAGTTCTCCCGTCTCTAAAATGAGGGAATAAAACTCCATCATCTGATGTATCTTCCGACCATGATAAGTCCATGCTCTTAGTGTAGTGCCTGGCACATAGTAGATGATTAATAAATGTTTATTGATTGATTATTGATCTCGGTTCTAAATTCCTTTTCATCCTTCACTTTCCATGTTTTGAGGTGCCTCCCAGCACTGACCTTCTCTGTTCTGAGGTTCCTCCCAATTTTGACATTTGTGTTCTAAAAGTTCTCCCAGTTCTGATGATCTATGTTCTAAAGGCCCTTCCAGCTCCAATATTCCACTTTCCTAGACTTCTTCCAGCCATGACATCGTGTTCTGAGGACTCTCCCAGCTCTGACATCCCTTACTCTATGACCTGGTTTGAAACCCAGGGACAGAATCCATCCTTGGGGTCAGAATCTTTCTCAGCAGCAGATGTTGGGGGAAAGGGAGAAGACATAGGCTTCCAGGTTGGGACAGCAGCATCACAGGGCAGGTTGTAGAAGTCCCAGGTGCACTCAGGGCTGGGCACGAGGCCGAGCTGGGGGCCGAGGGCAGTGGCTGGGCAGGCAGGCAAGATCAGGCCTAGTGAGTTCGGCAAGAGGGAGGGGGAGGCTCAGATAGAAAGGTGGCCAAGGGATAGGAATGTCAGCAGAAAAAGCTCGGTCCCTGGGAAGGGCAGGAGCCCCTTTCCTACTCTGCTCCAGGCCCTGGGACACAGCCAATAACTCATAATGAGCTGCTGCACCCTGGAGAGCCCTCACATCTAAGAGGGCAGCCACATGCTTCCTCCTTGGGAGACATGAGGGGATATCATTGAGGTCTCAGAACCCTCACCATCCAACCCAGGTCCAGAACAATCATTCTATCCAGATATGGGGCTTGGATCCCTCCCAAAGGCCGATCTAGAACCCAGAGACTCGTATCCAGGACCATCATTCTTTCTCCAATTGTTTGGGGGTGTTTACACCCCCCAGCGTAATTCTCACCCTAGTTCAATCCCAGAGCCCCTCCCTTAACCACACCTAGAGCCAATATTTCCCCCACGTTCTGCATGGTGAAGCCCATCAAATTCTGTAGTCCTCACCAGCCCAAAAGTCAACTATAGAAACCCCAAACACAGATCGACAACCCTAGGCTTGATGACAACACAGTTCTGGGAGCTTTATTCACATAGCCAGCTCCAGAATCAGCCTCCCCCTCAACCAAGTTAGTCCTGGAATTCTTATCTCTAGAGCCCAGAAGCCAGAGCTAGAACCCCCAGCTCTGAAACCCACCCAGAATAGGCCCGTGTAATACATCTCCTCATACTCCAGCAGGGGCTGTCGGTGCAGCTCCAGCACCAGGGCCTAGACACATATCAGAGTGAGTACTAAGGGGAGACAGAGTGATGTGGATCAGGGGAGAGAGATTATCAGGGCAGAAGCAAGGAGAAAGATGGGGGGGAAATTGGAGGGGCACAGAGGGGGATAGAGATGAGAAAAAATGATGGGACTTTACAGGGAAAGAGATGGGGAGATAGAAGGACAAAGGAGATGGGGAAAATGAGAACAGGAAGAGATGTAAGGGGAGAGATTCAGTGACAGACATGGGAGAGATATAAGGGAGATAGAGAGGGGGAGATATTTCAGAGACAGAAAAGGGCATGAGAGAGAGGAAATGTTGGGGGAGAGGGTGGGGAGGGGAAGGGAGAAGGAGAAGAAGAAGAAAAGAAGAAAAAGAAGAAGGAGAAGCAGGAGGAGGAAAAGAGGAGGAGGAGGAGCGGAGAAAGGCAGAGTGAGAGAAGAGGAAGAAGAAGAAGAAGACGAGGAGGAGGGGGAGGAGGAAGAAGAGGAGGAGTAGTAAGAGGAGAGGAGAAAGAGGAGGGAGAGAGATGGGGGAGGGAGGGAGGGAGAGAGGGAGAGGGAGAGGAGAGAGGAGAGAGAGAGAGAGAGAGAGAGAGAGAGAGAGAGAGAGAGAGAGAGAGAGAGAGAGAGAGAGAGAGAGAGAGAGAGAGGATAGATTTGGGGGGTGATTGAGCTATACTAGACACAGAGACCCAATTTTGTAAGAAGAGGAGAAGGGAGGAAGGGCACAGTCACCAGGAGACGGGGGTGATCCTTTGCCTCTTCAATTTTCTGCCTTTCTCCCTGTCTATTTTCCAACTATCCCCTCCCTCCCACCTGTGGACATGTCCA